CCGGGGACAGCGGTGAAGGACAGGGCGGACAATGGCCGGGGACAGCGGTGAAGGACAGGGCGGACAATGGCCGGGGACAGCGGTGAAGGACAGGGCGGACAATGGCCGGGGACAGCGGTGAAGGACAGGGCGGACAATGGCCAGGGAAGGACAGCGGACAATGGCTGGGGACAGGGTGAAGGACAGGGCGGACAATGGCCGGGGACAGCGGTGAAGGACAGGGCGGACAATGGCCGGGGACAGCGGTGAAGGACAGGGCGGACAATGGCCGGGGGACAGCGGTGAAGGACAGGGCGGACAATGGCCGGGGACAGCGGTGAAGGACAGGGCGGACAATGGCCGGGGACAGCGGTGAAGGACAGGGCGGACAATGGCCGGGGACAGCGGTGAAGGACAGGGCGGACAATGGCTGGGGACAGCGGTGAAGGACAGGGGGACAATGGCTGGGGGACAGGGTGAAGGACAGGGCGGACAATGGCCGGGGACAGCGGTGAAGGACAGGGCGGACAATGGCCGGGACAGCGGTGAAGGACAGGGCGGACAATGGCCGGGGACAGCGGTGAAGGACAGGGCGGACAATGGCCGGGGACAGCGGTGAAGGACAGGGCGGACAATGGCCGGGGACAGCGGTGAAGGACAGGGCGGACAATGGCTGGGGACAGCGGTGAAGGACAGGGCGGACAATGGCCGGGGACAGCGGTGAAGGACAGGGCGGACAATGGCCGGGGACAGCGGTGAAGGACAGGGCGGACAATGGCCGGGGACAGCGGTGAAGGACAGGGCGGACAATGGGGACAGCCAGGGCGGACAATGGCGGGGACAGCGGTGAAGGACAGGGCGGACAATGGCCGGGGACAGCGGTGAAGGACAGGGCGGACAATGGCCGGGGACAGCGGTGAAGGACAGGGCGGACAATGGCCGGGACAGCGGTGAAGGACAGGGCGGACAATGGCCGGGGACAGCGGTGAAGGACAGGGCGGACAATGGCCGGGGACAGCGGTGAAGGACAGGGCGGACAATGGCTGGGGACAGCGGTGAAGGACAGGGCGGACAATGGCTGGGGACAGCGGTGAAGGACAGGGCGGACAATGGCCGGGGACAGCGGTGAAGGACAGGGCGGACAATGGCCGGGGACAGCGGTGAAGGACAGGGCGGACAATGGCTGGGGACAGCGGTGAAGGACAGGGCGGACAATGGCCGGGACAGCGGTGAAGGACAGGGCGGACAATGGCCGGGGACAGCGGTAAGGACAGGGCGGACAATGGCCGGGGACAGCGGTGAAGGACAGGGCGGACAATGGCCGGGGACAGCGGTGAAGGACAGGGCGGACAATGGCCGGGGACAGCGGTGAAGGACAGGGCGGACAATGGCCGGGGACAGCGGTGAAGGACAGGGCGGACAATGGCCGGGGACAGCGGTGAAGGACAGGGCGGACAATGGCCGGGGACAGCGGTGAAGGACAGGTCGGACAATGGCCGGGGACAGCGGTGAAGGACAGGGCGGACAATGGCTGGGGGGACAGCGGTGAAGGACAGGGCAGGCTCGGGTGAAGGACAGGGGCGGATGGCCGGGGACAGCGGTGAAGGACAGGTCGGACAATGGCCGGGGACAGCGGTGAAGGACAGGTCGGACAATGGCCGGGGACAGCGGTGAAGGACAGGTCGGACAATGGCCGGGGACAGCGGTGAAGGACAGGGGCGGACAATGGCTGGGGACAGCCGGGGACAGCGGTGGAAAGGACAGGGCGGACAATGGCCGGGGACAGCGGTGAAGGACAGGGCGGACAATGGCCGGGGACAGCGGTGAAGGACAGGGCGGGACAATGGCTGGGGACAGCGGTGAAGGACAGGGCGGACAATGGCTGGGGGACAGCGGACACAGGGCGGACAATGGCTGGGGACAGCGGTGAAGGATAGGGCGGACAATGGCGGGGGACAGGTCAGACAGCGGTGAAGGATAGGGCAGATTATGACAGGGGTGAAGAATAGGACAGGTCGGAAAGCGGTGAAGGTTAGGGTGGAAGGTTAGGGTGGATAATTAGGTGGGGGGGACAGAGCGGTGAAGGTTAGGGCGGACAATGGCGGGGGAAGTGAAGGACAGCGGTGGGGGATAGGGGTGAAGGATAGGGCAGACAATGGCAGGGGGACAAGGTGGACAGCAGAGAAGGATAGGGTGGACAATGATGGGGGACAGGTCGGAAAATGGCGAGGAACAGGTCAGACAGAAGTGAAGGATAGGACGGACAATGACGGGGGACAGGGCAGAAAAAAAAGGCGGACAATGGTAGGGAACAGGGGTGAAGGATAGGGCGGACAACGGCGAGGGACAGGGGTAAAGGACAGGGTGGACAGGGGTGAATGGTGAAGGATAGGGCGGCCAATGGCAGGGGACAGGGTCAACAGCAGAGAAGGATAGGGTGGACAACAGCGAGGGACAGGCCAGACAGGGGTGAAGGATAGGGTGGACAAAGGCAGGGGACAGGGTGGAAGGATAGAGCAGATAATGGCGGGGGACAAGGTAGACAGCGGAGAAGGATAGGGTGGACAATGGTGGGGGACAGGTTAGAAAATGGCGAGGGACAGGACAGGCAGAGGTGAAGGATAGGGCGGAAAAAAAAAGGGCGGACAATAGGGGAGAAAGATAGGACGGAAAACACAGGGGGACAGGGCAGACAATGGAGAGGGACAGGGGTGAATTGTGAAGGTTAGGGCAGATAATGGGGGGGACAGAGTGGACAGCGGCGGGGGACAGGGCTGTAGGACAGGACGGACAACGGCGGGGGACAGGACGGACAATGGCGAGGAACAGGGTGGACAGCGGTGATGGTTAGGGGGGACAAAGGCGGGGGACAGGGTGGACAATGGTGAAATATAGGACGGACAATGGCGGGGGACAGCAGTGAAGGATATGGCAGACAATGGTGGGGGACAGGAGTGAAGGATAGGGAGGGATAGAGGGCAGACAATGGCGGACGACAGGTCGGACAGCGGTAAAGGATAGGGCGGACAACGGCGGACGACAGGTCGGAAAACAGTAAAAGGATAGGGGAGACAATTTCAGGGGACAGCAGTGAAGGTAAGGGAGGACAACGGCGGGCGACAGGGCGGACAATGGTGAATGAAGGATAGGGTGGACAATGTCAGGGAACAGGGGTGAAGGATAGGACAGACAATGGTGGGGTAGAGTGGACAGCGGTGAAAGTTAGGGCGGACAATGGCGGGTGACAGGGCTGAAGGATAGGTTAGACAATGGCAGGGGATAGCGATGAAGGATAGGGCGGACAATGGTGGTGGACAGAGTGGACAGTGGTGAAGATTAGGATGGACAGTGGTGGGGGGGACACAGTGGACAGTGGTGAAGGATAGGGCGGACAATGGCGAGGGGCGGGGTGGACAGCGGTGAAGATTAGGATGGACAGCGGCGGGGGACACGGCGGACAGCGGTGAAGGATAGGGCGGAAAATGGTGGGGGACACGGCGGACAGCGGTGAAGGATAGGGCGGAAAATGGTGGGGGACAGGGCGGACAGCGGCGGTTGACAGCGGTGAAGAATAGGGCGTACAATGGCGGGGGACGGGGCGGACAGCGGTGAAGGATAGGGCAGAAAATGGCGGGGGACGGGGCGGACAGCGGTGAAGATTAGGATGGACAAATGGCGGGGGACGGGGCGGACAGCGGTGAAGATTAGGATGGGACAAATGGCGGGGGACGGGGCGGACAGCGGTGAAGATTAGGATGGACAAATGGCGGGGGACGGGGCGGACAGCGGTGAAGATTAGGATGGACAAATGGCGGGGGGACGGGGCGGACAGCGGTGAAGATTAGGATGGACAAATGGCGGGGGACGGGGCGGACAGCGGTGAAGATTAGGATGGACAAATGGCGGGGGACGGGGCGGACAGCGGTGAAGATTAGGATGGACAAATGGCGGGGGACGGGGCGGACAGCGGTGAAGATTAGGATGGACAAATGGCGGGGGACGGGGCAGACAGCGGTGATGATTAGGATGGACAAATGGCGGGGACGGGGCAGACAGCGGTGAAGATTAGGATGGACAAATGGCGGGGGACGGGGCACACAGCGGTGAAGATTAGGATGGACAAATGGCGGCGGGACGGGGCACACAGCGGTGAAGATTAGGATAGACAGCGAAGGATAGGGCGGAAAATGGCGGGGGATGGGGCGGACAGCGGAGGGGGACACGGCGGACAGCGGCGGGGGACGGGAAGCGGTGAAGATTAGGATGGACAGCGGTGAAGGATAGGGCAGAAAATGGCGGGGGATGGATGGGGCGGACAGTGGCGGGGGACAGGACGAACAGCGGTGAAGATTAGGATGGACGGCGGCGGGGGACGGGACGGACAGCGGTAAAGGATAGGGCGGACAGCGGTAAAGGATAGGGCGGACAGCGGTGGGGGACATGGCGGACAGCGCTGAAGATTAGGATGGACAATGGCAGGGGGACGGGGTGGACAGCGGTGAAGGATAGGGCGGACAGCGGCGGGGGACACAGCGGACAGCGGTGAAGGATAGGGAGGACAGCGGTGAAGAATAGGGGCGGACATAGGGACAGCGACAGCGGACAGGGGGGGACACGGCGGACAGCGGTGAAGAATAGGGCGGACAGCGGCGGGGACACGGCGGACAGCGGTGAAGAATAGGGCGGACAGCGGCGAATAGGGGGACACGGCGGACAGCGGTGAAGAATAGGGCGGACAGCGGCGGGGGACACGGCGGGGGACACGCGGTGAAGAATAGGGCGGACAGCGGCGGGGGACACGGCGGACAGCGGTGAAGAATAGGGCGGACAGCGGCGGGGGACACGGCGGACAGCGGTGAAGATTAGGATGGACAGACGTGGGGAACACGGCGGACAGCGGTGAAGGATAGAGCAGACAATGGCGGGGGACACGGCGGACAATGGTGGGGATCATTAGTGGGGAATAGGGGGTCAGTGAGCAGTGTCAGTGTGTGTCCCCCCCTCCCACGGGCTCCTCTTACCCGAGGCCTGCATGATCTCCCTCCGGAGGCCGCCCGTGTAGTCGATGAGCTCCTCCAGGCTCCGCTCGCAGTGCTGTCCATAGCCGGAGAACTTCTGTAGCACCTTGTCCAGCTCCCGCTCCACCGTCACACATTGCTCCATATCCCCGGAGGAGGGAGCGGCCTCCTCTTCCTCACACACGGCCGGCCCGAGCCCCGCCAACACAACCCGAACAGGAAACACACCGTAGCCGCCTACTCCTTCCTCAGCCCCGGGCCCCCCCGCTCCGCTCTTCTCTCACCGGCGCTTGTTTTTGTTTTTAACGGAGATCAACATTGACCTGTTTTACCGGGACCTCATCATTGTGCCTCATGAAGGGGTGAGCTCTTACAGCAATCCGCACGTCTTCACCAAATGTCCCCCCTCACACACAGATCCCCGGTCTACCACTGTTTAATTACTACATAAAGATCTCTATTAGTTCCTAGAAGGAGGTATTAATTTTGTTATGGATGACAGAATTTACTGTCGAACAGAGAGTCACCCCCTGCGTCAAAGGACGAGTAATGGAACGTTCCACGTCCTGACGTAGCCGCCGCTAACCCCCATGATTTGCGCTATGGGTTTTTTTTTTTTACATCCGGGTCCCGGCTGTTGTTGCTGGGCGGAGCATCAGAAACTGCCTGGAGGAGACGTCACCGGCGTGATCAGGCGAATTGGCAGCGGAAAATTGTGTCCCCAATACAGGAGACATTTTGTCGAAGCCGGCCAGGCATGATAGCAGCTGTCCATACAGAGACAAAACACACAACCCCAATAAATGAACTGCAGCACATCTCTGCTTATTCCATTCATAGCAACAAATGTGACACTTTATTTAACTTTCATCTATTTTAGCTTTTTAACCCCTTCATGACGGAGATTAAAACAAATCTTAACACCTGAACTCAGTTTTGCAACTTTGACATTTATTTTTGTTCAGGTACTTATATAGTGCTGTCAATTTACACAGCACTTAACATGTATATTCTACATTTATATCAGTGCCTAACCCTCAAGGAGCATACAATCTAAAGTCCCTAACTCCCATTCATACATACACATACTAGGGACATTTTAGACAGGAGCCAATTAACCTTCCAGCATGTCTTTGGAGTGTGGGAGGAAACCCTCGCAGTCACAGGGAGAATATGCAAACTCCAGGCAGGTGGTGCCAGGGTTGGGATTTGAACCAGCGACCCTAGTACTGCCAGGCAGAAGTGTGAACCATTTAGCCACTGTGTGTTAGTGAAACTGACATCGCAATTACATAGTGTATGCGGCTGAATTATACCTTGTTTTTTTCAGGACAAACTTTTTTTTTTTCATTATTAAAGGAAAACTGGCACAAACATTTAAAAAAATAATTTTCTAAAATGTAACTGTATATTTCTTGCTATTATCAAGGAACAACCCAAAATAAATGTTCCCGCTCCTGTCGATTGCGGTGATACCACATATGAGTATTGTGGTAGCACCCAGATATTGTAGAGTCCCCCTTTAAACTCTAACACTTCTAGCAGCCTGTGTTTGTAAAAGCAAGGTTTTTGGCTCATCTTCCCCCCTTTCTTATTTTTTGTGAGGATTATGTTGTACCAGCTCTTAGCTGTGATTCTTATCTGCAGCTGCTATCAAAGGTTATTCTGCAGAGTTTAGAAAGCCTGTTGAAAGTAATAGAAAGTAAAACAAGAAATGTATGCTCTGTGATGTAATCATTGGTATATACACTTGTAAGAAGTTTTCTATAACTCACTTAGATGAGAGTACAAGCCATCTGTTGAGTCAAAACAGTGCTGTTTTTAATAAATCATTTGTATTCCTCAAGTCCATGTCTGGAGTTCTCTGTTTTGCCAAAAATTGCTACATTTTGATATTCGATGTTTGCACCCGTAGTACAGCCCAGAGAGGTACAGTTTTCAGTTTGCTTTTTTTTAATCCTACCTAAGGATAGGGTCACACCTACGCAGTTTGTATTTGATCTGATTCTGCAGTGCTTTTTGTGGCGCATTTTGCATTTTTTGCACATGCGTTTTGTTATGCGGTTTTTGCTGCGTTTTGCATTTTTTTTCTCTTGTTGCTAGGCATATTAAAATGCAAAACATATCAAAAACGCATCAAAGATGCACTACATGCTTTTCTGCAACATCTCCATTGCAGTCTATACAACCAAAAATGCAACTTTTTTTCGTTTAAAAAATTCCCTAACCCTTTCCAAAAAATGCAGCGGGTGAAAATGAGATGAAATGTGAACGTGTCCCATAGGAAATCATGTTAAATAGACTGTAGTGCGTTTCTGCAAAACGCTGTGGTAAACGCTCAGGTGTGAACCTAGACTAAAACAAACTGACGCTGATATTAAGTCCCAGTTCACACTGATGCGGATCTGATTCAGATCAGGTGAGGTCCGAAAGGTGTAAATTTGCATGTCATCTGAAAAAACATTGTGTTCTATAAAGGCCGTTTACATCTATGCGCTGCGATTCTGATCCAGTGAAAAAAAAAAGGGTCCTGTGCAGAGGCGTCCCTAGTGTAGGTGTCACCCGGTGCGGTAACACTTGGTGAAACCCCCTCCGACGAACCCCGCAGAATGGATCGGATCTGCGGATTGAGCATAATGGATCGGACTCCGATCCATTATGCTCAATCGGCAGATCAGATACATCCTGCGGGATCGTTGGCTTTCTTTACAACTTACCTTTCCTTGGAATGGGTCCAGTGTCACCCCGTGTAGGTTGCATGCCGACGAGGATTGTCAGCATGCAACCTATACGGGGTGACACTGGACCCGCTCCAAGAAAAGGTAAGTTGTAAAGAAAGCCGACAATCCCTGCAGGATGGATTGGATCCATCAAGCCGACAATCCCCGCAGGATGGATCGGATCCATCCTGCGGGGATAGTCAGCTTGCTTTACAACTTACCTTTTTGTGGTGCGAGTCCGGTGTCACCCTGTGCGGTCGGTGTCACCCGGTGTGGACCGCACCCCCAGCACCTGCCTCGGTACGCCACTGGTCCTGTGTGAATTTTAGTGCAGTGGGGTGTAACTTTTATCTCCAGCGATGCCCAATCCCCTCAAAAATCCCATTGAGTTAACATTAGAATCTCACCTGTCAAAACAAAAGTCACACGGTGAAATCGCATCAATTCGCACCACATCAGTGAGAACCTAGGCTAAAGCATAACTAAACCTCCCTATGCTTTTCAGTCAAGGAAGCTGCCATCTAATGCAGGCCATAGATGAGTCAAAAACCGTCCGTTTAAAAAAAACAAAAAACAAAAAAAAACAAATTGGTCGTTCAATAGGCTGACGTTACCACCAACGGTAAAAAAAAAAATCAGCCGATTTTCGTCCCATTTACGGCCGGCATTTACTTACTTCTGTCCCTGCAGAGAGCTCCGCTATTATATTTGACATTAAAAAGTGTAGCAAATGCAACATTGTATCTATTTGTATCCATTTCAGATACAGATGTTTTTAATCGGATACAAATAGATACAATGTTGCAACCGCAATACTTTTTCATGTCAAATATAATATCGGACTGGAATTCTTCTTCTACTTCTTCTTCTTCTTCTACTTCTTCTTTTTCTTCTTCTTTTTTTCTTGCAGGTCACGGCTCATGTGCAGATTTTTTTATCGGTAAAAAAGATCGGCCGATTTGCCCATCATTGCCGCGAAAATCGGACGATTTTTTTCCAACTTTGCCGATAAAAAAAATGTGCCAAAATCCAGAAAAATGGCCAACCAATTAACCCATTAACAGTGCGAAAATCGGTCGTTTTTCTTTCCGGATGCAAAATCGGCCAATTTTCGACCCATCTATGGCCTGCATTAGCCTCTCTTTGATCTGTAACTGCCATGGTGCTGCACCTGTGATCAGTGATGACACCAGACATTTGATAGTTTGACAGTTTGGTTGAGAACACAAGCAAATGTGACAGTTAGATTTCCGGATATGCCGGAAATGTAACGGTCTTTTGAAGCTGTAAAATCGATGGGTTTATTTGCACTTTACTCAGGTAAACTGAAACTAAATCCATTTAAAAAAAAAAAGTTACATTCCGGACATATCAGAAACGCTAACTGTCATATTTGCTTGTGTTCTCATCCAAACTGTGAAAACCTGAATGAAATCTGAGTTTACGGCTAAATAACAAAATGCTGCTAAGCACAATATCCACACACCAGATATATCAAAATATAAAAAGCAAAAGAGTGCAGCGCTGTCAAGACAGAGTAGTTGATATTAAATAAATTGACTACATGTAATAAACTAGTGCAAATAGTGGTTGAAATAAAGTCTTCTTCATAAGCACCCAGTGAACAAAAGTGCAAATACTTGTGCTGATATAATCAAAAATAGACAACTTACTACTGTAGGTAAGACATCTTGCTCTCCAGTTCCCTTGCTACCTAGTCATCCCATGTTTGCCTTCCAAACTTCTCCCAAAAACCTCTCCCATCCTGTGGAACTCCCTACCCCAGAATGTCCAGTCAACCTTTAGGCAATCGTTGAAAACTCATTTGTTACCTCCTTCCATAATAGCTTCTAGGACTTCTCAAGCATCTCTCGCATCCTCTGGAACTCACCCCTACCCCAGTATGTCCAGCTCAGCCCCCAACCTGTTTTGCCTTCAGGCGATCATTGAAAACTCATTTGCAACCGCCATAGGGGGCATACTCGCCTCCAGGACTTCTCCCAGGCCTCTCCTATCCTCTGGAAATCCCTACCCCAGTATGTACGGTTAGCTCCTGCCCTGTCCGCCTTTAGGCAATCATTGAAAGCTCATTTACACAGAAGCCCACCCATCCCTCCACCTGCACTTTAGCCATCTCTTCCGGATCATACCCTGCAGCTATTGTCTGTTTTATAATAACCACCTCCCCCACCATTTTGATTGTAGCAGCAGGCCCCTTGGTTGGTTTCCTTCTCTATTGAACTGTATTGTATTTGTACTAACCCTCTTTAAATCATAAAGCGACTATGCAAACTGTTGGCGCTATGTAAATCCTGCATAATAATAATGATAAAGTGCAGATGGCATAAAATGAAAAGTACAATACAACGAAGTGAGATTCATTTTATGATTCAACTCCTACAAAGTCATAAAGAAGAACATTACT